CCCCCCCACTCTTAGGGGGGGGGGGGGGGTAGTCTGTCTGTGCCACACAGCCGTTAAACCTCAGAGGAGAAAGAAATGGATCCAGTGAGGTGGGTGACACTCACCAGACACTCCACCATATGTGGTGCGCTTTCCTCGGCCGATGCCAGGCCAGGGAGAGCCGTCTGCCTTGAGTCCCATCAGCCCCGAAACCGTGTTGGTGGCTGTGACGCCATCTGCTCCACCTGTGCCAACAGGGAAGAGGCATTAGGCACGGGGAAGGGCGAGGGAGGGAGGCCAAATTCCTAAAAAATCTGGAGCTCAAAACCTGCGGGTCTGTTTTAAACTCGTACAGGAGACGTCAGGCTGTTAGTGGAGGTCGTGAGGGGAAATGTGTTTCTAGGGCAGATCTAATGTCTGGATTGGGAAACTGTTTTATAGAGGACATGTTCTACACTTCTGTTTTTTTCCCCTGAAGTCCATTTATAACATTAGTCAAGGATTCTTGCACCAAAAATGTGTCATTTAGTTTGAAATGACCATTTTCCAGCATTCTCTGACCTTTAGAATTAAACAGGCTGTTTTTGCAACTGTACCTTTAAGACTTCTATATATAAATCAAACGTTATAAAGTCAAACGTTTGTAATATATTTTTTATGTTTTTGAAAGAAGAAAAACATTGATTTGATCAACAATACAATAAAACAGTAATACTGTAAAATATTACAATTTACAAGAACTTTCAGAAATCATTCTAATATGTTTTTTGAAACTCAGTTTTAATTTGAGTATTTAGTATTTAATTTCAGTATTAATTATAATTGGTGTTTACTTATTAATATTTGTTCAATAATAGTTCAATTATTAATAATAGTTCAAATTTATCAATGTTGAAAACAGTTTTTGCTAATATTTAATATTTTTGTGGAAACTGAGATACATTTTTTAGTTAGAATTCAAAGTTCAAAAGAACAGCATTTTAAAGAACATGTTATTTTTTAAATAAAATCTTTTGTAACATTATAAATGTCTGTGAGATAAATTTAATGTATCCACAAAAACAAACACAAACAAAAATGCTCACTTAACCTCAAACCTACTGGTTTCCACAAAAAAAATATTAAGCTACAAAAACTGTTTTCAATATTGATAATAATAAGAGAATGTTTCTTGAGCAGCAAATCATAATATTAGAATGATTTCTGATAGATCATGTGACACTAAAGACTGCTGAAAAGTCAGTTTTGCCATCACAGATATAAAATACATTTTAAAATATATTAAAATAAATACAGTTCATTTAAACTGTAACAATATTTAACATTATTCTGTTTTTCCTGCATTTTTGATAAAATAAAAGGCTTAGTGTGCAGAGACTTATTCAAAAACCATTTAAAAAAATCTTAATTATTCCAAACTTCTGAAGAGAAGTGTATTTTTTTTGTTTTTATGTGCTACAGAATGATGGGAAATGTAGTTGGGTTGCACAGGCCTGTTGCCTTTACTGGGAAAGCTGATGGAGATTAGTTTATATTGAGTTAATGAATAAAAAAAAAATCAATATAATAAATTTACCACTATTATCATACCAAAATGGTATAAATTTACCATAAAACAGCCCAATACCTTCCTGTGCAGCCTTGGCAATGTCCACGGTGTTGGTCACATTAGGGGTGAGTTTGGCAAAGAACGGGATCCGAACAGCCTTCCGAACCCACCGACAGATGTTCCGCACCAGCTCTGGATCCTGGTCAAATGGGTCATGAAAGCAACAAACAATCTTAAACAACGACAAAAGAGGCATGAGAAAACAAAACAGCAGAACTTCAATGAATAGTTAACATCAAAACCCTTGTATTATGGCTTATAAGTTACTTATTATTGACTACTTTTACAGTGTTTTGCATACTTTGTTGAATCTTGAAAGCTCTAGTCACCATTCACTGTAGTTAAAGTCTTGAGAAGTTCTTCAGAAACTCGTTAGGTGTGGAATGAGGGCAGGGAAATGATGAGATTGAACAAATTTGGGTGAACTATTCCTTTAAATATTAGCAGACTGTTAGACCTGAGTGTGTGTGTGTGCGCGCATTTTTGTGACAAATGAAAATCTGAAATAGCACAAAGTTTCCTGTGAGGGGTAGGTTTAGTGGTAGGGTTGGTGTAAGGCAATAGAATATACGGTCTGTACAGTAGAAAAACCATTACGCCTATGGGATGTCCCCACTTTTCACAAAAACAAACCTGTGTGTGTGTGTGTGTGTGTGTGTGTGTGTGCGTGCGAGAGAGACAGAATGAGCGAGTGATAGATGGAGAGGGGAGCCTGTAGTCACTGGTGTGAGGGAGAGAGGGATCATAACAGTGTGAACTGCTGTTCCAGGAGGATTCATGCTTTATTAAGCTGTCCTGGTCTGTCAGTCTGTGCTGTTTAGTGAGAGAGAGAGAGAGAGAGAGATAGAGAGAGAGAGAATGAAGGGGCTTTGGTATTTGTGAATCTGAGAGAAAAGATTGCATTTGTCTCTATAACTCTTTTTAGTAAAGTAAAATCACAACTGCAACTTAGACAATGTTTTAAAATCAAAGCATTCATGATGATATGTGACCCTGGACCACAAAATCAGGCATAAGGTCATTTTTTTATTGAGATTTACACATGTTCTGAAAGCTGAATAAATAAGCTTTCCATTGATGTATGGTTTGTTAGGATAGGACAATATTTGGTCAAGATACAACTATTTGAAAATCTGGAATCTGAGGGTGCAAAAAAATCTAAATATTGAGAAAATCACCTTTAAAGTTGTCCAAATTAAGTCCTTACAAATGCATATTACTAATCAAAAATGAAGTTATGATATATTTACGGTAGGAAATTTACAAAATATCTTAATGGAACATGATCTTTACTTAATATCCTAATGATTTTTGGCATAAAAGAAAAATCAAGAATTTTGACCCATACAATGTATTGTTGGCTATTGCTACAAATATAACAGTGCTACTTAAGACTGGTTTTGTGGTCCAGGGTCACATATGAGAATTCACTGGACTATTTCCTGTAACACCTGTCTGTATAAAGCTAGATCATAAAAGATTCAAATTTCCCATCATAAATCAATCACAAAGTATGGTACAAAAGTCTGAGAACTGCTTTTATAATCGCAGTGATTTTAAAAAAATTTACAAAAAAAAATAGAAAGAACACCATTTTTTTAAAAATATAGAAATCTTTTATAATATTATAAATGTCCTTACTGTCATTTTAGATCAATTTAATGTATTTTTAATAAATAAAAGTATTATTAAATTGTTTAAAAAATAAACAAAACTCCTATTTTTCTATTAAATTATATAAAATATATTTAAGAATTATATATTAAATAAATTACATTTATTTATTTATATTAAATAAAGAAAAGAGATGACAAATAAAATAATAATATTATATTATATTATATTTTAACTAATATTATAGAACTGTTTTTATTCTTTGTCGTCTTTCTTCTTTGCATCCACTATCTTCATGCTACCGTTTGTCAACCATTGCATTTGGCCCCTTTCCTCCAGGCCTCAAATAAAGACGCACAACTGCATTAAACCCTTTATAACCCTACGAAGTAAAACAGACCTGGTTTATTTCAAGCAGCGAAGCCTGATGTCAGATCAGTCGGGATGCTTTAAATGACTGTCCAGCCTCAGTTCCCTTTCTCATCCCTGTCCTTCTCAGTCTCTCTTTTCTTTCACAGGAAATAGGTCTCTGTTTTGACATATTCAATAACGGCTGGCATATATTCCCTTGAGCAATGGGTCTGTCCGTCTCTATAAAGAAGGGTGATGTACAAGCTGTATGTGCAAAGCCGAGTTCTAAGGTCACTCCCTGCACAGGAAAAGGTTAGCATTTGATTTTTAAAACCATTAGCCAGAATTGATTTGTAAGAATACAGAAGCCCACAGAAAAACACATCTCCTCCTGACTATTTCCTTTCCATTTCTAAGGCATGCTGAGTGATTCAGCGCAGCACAAAAACGAAGAGCGAAAAAAACGTCACTGTGGGATCTGCTGCGTCCTTGGGTGTGTATTTTACCTGAGATACACATGAAGTCAGGTTATATTTGCACCCAAAAGAATTCAAAATGCTTTCGAAAGGCACTGAAAGAGAAGGAACAGGAAAGGTTACGCCATTTAAGATGATCAACTCATTCCCAGATTTTTTTTTTTATAAATATATTGGATTTATGCACTCGACCCAGCAGTGAGCACCATCCATGGCAATTTGTCCTGATTTATTCAAGACTTAAACAGGGTATAAACAAGGCTGGAGTGTTAGGTTCAACCTGTCCACTCCGAGCCGTCTGCCAGAGCGGGAGAGGCAATATCTGGGCACCCGAGAGATGTTTGATAGCGCTGGCGGGTTGCTGGAGAGATTCATTGGTTGATATAGCGAATCCTGAACTCCAGGCTAAAAAAAGTGGTAAGAACAAAAGTGTCAAGACAACACAGCAAAGAGAAAAATAGAGAAAGACAGACAGATATTGGCGAAAAAAATGTTACTTGATCAAAAACTTGTAGGAAACATACGGGTAACAAGCTTGTCTGTATTTCAGGTTCTGCAATTGGTCATCAACTCTTTTTCACATTTGAATCACCCTTTTGCCTTCACTAGTGCATTTAAATGGTCCTGAAGTACAAATACTTAATGTTTTGTTAAATTACCAAAAGCATTTCATATACAAAACCAATGACTATTAACATTTCTTATTGATGCAAACAGTATGCATTCTTACTAATCAAACAACCAACCAAACAATTAAACAATTTGTACTTGTACAAAAGATTCTTACATGCAGGACTGTCATCATTCTTAATGATATCAAATATTTCAAAAAAAATTCTTATGTATATATATTAACAGAATGTATTTCTGCTAATAACGAATAACTGTTTACACTAATTTGGACTTAAAATGTTGACAATCACACATTTGTTGTATTTGAATAAATACTGGTATGCTGTTCATATTTGGACTAATATAAAAAAATTATAACTGTCAACATTCTTAAAATTGCGTACTGCATGCATTTGCACTTATTAAACAAATGTGTAATTGCAAACATTCTTACAACTGCAACTGTAAGTATTTGTATTAGCAATAAATGTCTATATTGTCATACATTTTGAATGTACATAAATTCCATTGTCAGCATTTTTACAAAATCTATCAGCATGTATTTGTATAAATAGGGGAAAAAAACATTATTTGTCAACATTCTTACAAATACAACCAGCAAATAGTAATATTAATATGTAATAAATGTGTAATTGTCAACTTTTTTTTACAAGTGTTCACAAAGGCTGCATTTATTTAATCAAAAATATAGTAAAATATTAACATTGTGAAATATTATTAACTGTTTTCTATTTTAATATATTTAAACATTTTATTTATTTATTATTTACTTGTTTACTTCAGAAATAATTCTAAGAGTCAGATTTACTAAACAGCGCAAATTAGTGCAAGGGCGCAATTCCAAAACGGCGCCGATGGGTGTGGAAATTTCTGCGGGTGATTTACTGACATCGCGCAAATTAAAGAATACAGACGCAACATCTCATTTACATATCGACCAACACAATATACCAAACGCAGCGCAAATTAACGTAGTTGCTAATAAGCAGAGCCGATGCTTATCAGGTGCGGGTGATCTACTTACGACACAGGTGCAAAAGAGTTTAAGACATGCTTTTTTGGGTGTTAAATAATGGAGCAAATACCAGCAATTTCGCAAACGATAGTAAATCGCGTTGCGTGATTTATTTTAATACACTCCTCCCATACATTTTGCATCTGAAAGGTCATGATGAGTTGATTCAGTGGCATATCACAGTCCTGTGGTTTGTGGTATTAAGAAATCCCTACAAAGGGAAACTCCTACAAATGCATATTCAACACGGTCAGGCGCAAAAATAACTGTGTCCACACCTTTTCAGCGCTAATTCTTCACTGCGCGTCTTTAGTAAATCCTGACAGTACTATGCAAAAGACGGTTTGCGCTGGTGCAAACTGTTAGTAAATCTGGCCCCAATAATCTAATTTGGTACTCAAGAAACATTTCTGTGATACTGTGATACATTTTATTTATTTGTTTTTTTTTGGATGAATATAAAGTTAAAAAAATGAAAAAGCATTTCTTTAAAATAGAAATCTTTTGTAACATTATAAACATCTTTACTGTCACTTTTGATCTATTTAATGTATCCTTGCTGACTAAAACTATGAATTTCTTACTAGTCTACTGACCACAAAACTTTGAACAGTCATGTATTTAAACTGATATTAAAAATGCACGATTGTCAATGTTCTTATAAATATTCATATTTTCTTTAATACAAATTCAGAGCTGCCTGCCAGCACTGAAGGCTGAGTGAGTGGCGTCCGCCTGGTCGAGCCGCAACCGAGCCCTGCGTCCTGAGGGAACGTTTTTTTCTACAAGCCGAACGTTGGTAGCATTTGAAGAATACAACAACAACAGACTTACAGGAAGCAGGAAAGGCCTTCCTCCCAAAGGGTCATGGGAAATTGCATTACGCCTGCCTCAGTACGAGGCACAGGGGTCGTGGCCCGCAGCCAGACACCAGCCACCAGCCACCAAACAGATGCTGCCTGTAAGAACTCTGCTCTCGCACCGGGGACCGCTGCTCCCTCCAAGGGCTTCCCGTGACAGCTTATTACAGGCCAGATGGGGGTGAGAGCC